TTGTATTTACAACTGAACGTAGTTCCACTCCTGCCATAACCCAGATATTCCCCGACGAAATTGCCAGACTGAAAGTTCCCTGAGCCCTGCGGTTCCGTTCTTTCTTGCGGAGCGCTGTTAGAATTGTTCTTACGTGGACGAAACGGATATCTTTGTGGTGGTTCCGATTGAGAATTTTCATTCGGCGACCCAATCATAACATCAGGATGTTCACAGAAATGTTGTTCCTTTGCCTGCTTTGCAAGATACGCATATGCTTTTAGCACCATAGGGTTATCAGATTGAAGATTGAGTGTTTTGGAAATAGATAATATTTTGGATCCTTCTTGTCGCCTTAGAAACCAGTGTTGATGATACGTTGTTAGTACACCATATCGAAGTCTGTTACTAGCCATATACGTATATGCTTGTGATATAACCGTTCGTGCTGTAGAATCAACAGCATAATAATCGGGAAATGTTCGATCACCAAGAGGCAAAATACATTCTTTTTTGACTTCTATTGTCAGTATGAGTTGATCCCCTTTTTTGCCAATAAAGTCTGGCACCCCAACCGTATTACCGAGACATTGATTTGTGAATACAATTTCTTCATCTTTCATTACTCCATTCAGGACGTGAAAGATGTTATGATCCATGGCCATCCGAACTGATTCTTCATTAGCAACCATATCGAATTCGCGGAAATTCGGTTCTTGATATTTTTGTTGTTGTCCAAAGGAACATAAAGCCACTTCATCAAAAAATTCTCTCCATAAAATCAAGTCTGAAGGCGCTGTAAATTCTCCTTTTGTCGTTGCTCTACTAGAACTCAGTTCATTGGAGTATTCAAGATTAGGTGGAATAAGAGATAAGACCTGATCCTGACTTAGAAGGACTAGAAAAAGAATAGAACGTGGGTTCAACTTTAGTTAGTAGTATTCTCCTGGTAAACTCTCAGCATAAGAAAACAAGTATTTGATATTAGATGATCCATCACTTGTGCACTTGGCATGATTGCTGAACTATTAAATAAAAAATATCGAGTCAGATTAAATGTTACTTTAATTAATATTACCAATTGTTGCTTACCTCTGAAATAAATAATTCCGGTGTTTCATCAAAACTCTTAAACCGCTTGAGTACAACAGTTTCTATCATCCCATACGTTTTATATTTGGCAGTATAAACTGTTCCATAACCACCAGCTCCGATCTCTTTAATTTGATCAAAGTCACTATACTGTATGTGCTTTACATTATATCCGTTAATTTGTATTATAAGAACAATTTTTGTGAAATCAAACAGAGTTCTTATAACCAGCTCTGACTGTATATGATTTTTTCCTTCTAGCATGACCTGTGCTTCAGGCACATTAACGAGGTCAAAGTTAAACTCATTCTCATCAAAGAAACTGAAAGATTTTAGACGCTTTAGACAACTATAGTCAATTTTTTATTTGGAATATAATTGAAGACAAAAAACAAATCAGATCATGGATACTACTAATGACTATTCATACAAACGAAGAAATGATTTTGCTAGTTTCCCAGAAATTAAGCAGACTTTTTTGTGAATTTCGTCTGGTGCTTTCATCTTACTGTCACTAGTAGTCAAATAAACATAATAATCATTCTCGTCCAGGGAATTTCGATCTGATGGATCATATGTCTCGTCAATGCATTTTGAAAAAAAGTCGTAAACAGAAAGGTTATGACGGGTTATGGTGGTGGTAAATAGATCGGGAAGTTTAGTTTTGTGCTTTGCATAAGGTTGTTCGGATACTTGTAGAAATATCTTCTTGCAATCATGATTGTAAATAAAAAAATCGACCACAGCTGCGTCTCGCCAACAAATATAAACTGTTCCTGGATGAATGGTCGGAAGCTCGACAGGAATATCGTTATGAATGATGATGTTTTGGGCAGATATTTGAATTTTTTCTTTTTCTTTTTTTTGTGTTAGATCCATATACTCCATTTCAACAATATTGGCACTCATAGCTGCCATCCGAAAGCGATGTTGCACACAGAGCTCTAGCACCTGCCAGCTTATCGTTTTATCCCCTCTCAATATGCTGATGGCATTTTTTGTGTGGCTGTCGTCAAACGCTTTAAATATTGCCATCCCAGAATTTTCCCACGAATCTGGTACATCATCCATAGGTGATCCCATAAAAATTTTTGCTGCAAATACGGTGCTTTCCTTGACATCTTCTTTCATTCTCTTCTTATCCAACAAATAATCTGTTGCATCCTTAGTATAAAGTTTCATCACGTTGTCTACCCCATTATGACGTTCCTTATCCCAAATCTTCATGAAGCGGCCGAGTTCTCTAGGTATACCACCGACAAAGTTCCTTAGGAAACCAGTATCGGGAGGCAAACTGTCTGTGAAACGATTGGTCATTTTAGCCCATTCATCGTTGTTGTAGGGTGAAATACGTGTAAATAGTCTCGAGTTTCCATCAATTGCTGTTTTACCGCCATGATAGGAAGATGTGAAGGCAAATAGGACGGCACCTCGTTGGACATTGAAGTTATTCCAGTCGGAGAATATCCTACCAATAGGATTGCTTCCCCATGATATAGTGGTCGGCGCCTTGTTATACTCCAGAACTGCCTCATGATCCACAAGGAACGCATTATATTGGTCTATGCAAATAACAACAGGAACCCGAACTGTCCTCTGGAGATCTTCAATGAGAAAATTGAAGAGTACGACCGAATTTTGAATATCCTTTGCTGCTTCCATAGCCGCATCAAACATTGTAACTTTTGATGATGACGGAAGTTGCTTTAGCAAGTCCTGATTTCGCAAGGCCCATGATTCCAAAAACTCGCACACTTTCTGATTGATCCATCGTGTACCATTCGTAAAAAATTTGGATTCTCAATGAGTCGGTCAATCTATATAAGTCATTAAGTCGGAACGGCTCAATCGCGAGGGACTTTTATTCGGCTCCAACTGTCTTAGTTGGATGTGTCTCGATAAGTCGGTCTCACGTGACAATTTGTAAGGCATAATAATAATACAGTTTCTTTAATTTAATTGGTGGACCACACCCCATACGATATTAATTGTCCAATAGAATTACTTATACATTGGCTACACAAATATACTATAATCATAGATAAATATGTCATGCATTACAATCAAAGAGCTAAGATCATACGATTAAAGTTATACTAGACATGTCATTAGATCATACGATTAAAGCATAAATATATCATTAGAATCGTACGATAGACATGCATTAGAATCATACGATTAAAGCACTAGACTGTCATTAGATGTCGTTAGAATCATGCGATTAAAGCGCTAGTCATGTCATTAGATCATACGATTAAAGCAATAACAATAAACATGTCTTAGAATCATACGATCAAAACACTAAGATGTAGACGTTATAGATTTGTGTACTAAGAATTATCTATAAATAAAGGTAATTGAGATCCCTCTGTCTTCGTTGACAAGTTAATTCTCTAAGACAAGCTAGTTTGCAAGATTATTTTGCGATGTAATTATATAAATGTATTACTATTAATAATAAACGGTTTAATTAAATGTATATATTTAATCACGTGATTCTCCATAAGTCGGCCATTTGAGGCGGGCTACTGTTGGCCGACTTATCGAGACTGACTATAGTTTCAAAATTATGATGTACTGTATTTCCTTGACTAAAGTACTTTCCCTCCCCCCCGGAGCAAAGTACCCTTCAGCAATTTTGAGGCCTGATTTTGTAAGACAACCGGGTACTATTTTCGAAAATTATCGAGTAAAATACCCGGGTTATAAACGAATAATCCCATTGTAATAGTAAAATTAACCATATAACAGTATATATACAAAAGTGATGAGAATTTTTTTTGTGCATACAAATAAAATTCTATTTGTCAACTCAATCTTACTCCAATTTTTGTAGAATAAATTTTACATCAATTATAATAAAATTATGCTTTCTAACTTTGGATAATTATTGCTACTAATACTAATACTAAGGCAATTTCAGTCTGAATATTCAAAAGTGCTAGACTGGCTCTCTAAAAGTCCCAGACCTCTATCCAATTGGAAATATGAAAAGAAGAGTTGAACAGAAGGTAAATAAATGCTCTGTTACAAAATATGGTTGATTTCAAACATTTTATAAAAGAATTAATTAGTAGACTCTTCGACTTACTTGATTAATAACATGCCTAGACATATTGGTGATCTGATTACAGGATAGGGAAACAAGATCAAAGACCAAAATTTTATACCAATTTTTATTATCCTTGATAAACTTTACACAAATTTCAAGCCAATCCAGCTGTTAGTATTAGTTATTGAACTGTCAACTAATTGGTAATTCTCATAACTTTTGCAATGCACTGTACATGTGGATTTAGAGAATTATATTCCAGAGTCCGTTTTAATGATTTCTTAAATTAGTTGCAACGTCGTTTTTGTTTTTGTTTTTTTTTTTTTTTGCTACTATACGAATAGTTATATTTTTGTAGTAGCTATGCCTCTTGTGGATACTACTTAGCATGACAAGAATAATTATAATGAAGAGAAAAAGTATTAGGCCTATCATCAGGAAAAATCTAAAATAAGGAATGTGCAATGTGCAATGTAACACACGCGTTGAGAACGAGATTTATTCACTTGAAAAATTTTTTAAAATTCAAACTATGTCGTTAGCATCAGGGACTGTTAATATCCAGCAATTGATAACTTAGTTCAATCCTCCTTGGAAAGTGAAAATATACAGTAGGATGCAAAAGTATCCCCCACACTTCTAATTCGGGACACGAATGAGTAAATGCTTTGAAAGTTTCCCTGTATATAGTTTATAATAAACCCTAATCCCTTGTAAAATTTCAGCTTGATTGAATGTCTCCAGCAAAAATTTACAAACATCCAATATTTGCCTCTAAAACATATAAAAAACATATTAAAAACCCTACATTGCTTATTTCAATTTATACTTCAAAAATCCATATCTCCACATGTTTCTAATTGATTTGCGGGATCTTTTTTTTTGTTTTGTTTATCAAACTAATTTCTACGTATTTCTTTAGATGTGGTAGTCAAAAACGCTATTATACTTGACAAGACACGTGAACAATCTTTATAAGTATCATTATGCCGCACAATTGTTTGTATTTTGTAGTAGATATCACACAGTAATTTGTTTTAAAATTACATAAATGCAATTTGATGGTGCAGAGAAACAAAATAAAAAAAAATCACAAAATTTGGTTAGAGAAGTGTTGAGATATGAATTTTTGAACTCTTATGACTGAAAACCCGAAATATGTAATGGTAAAAACTTTGGTGTCAAGCCAAATTGACAATGTCTACTATGCTATGAACAAGCATGTTATGTTGCAATTAGTTCGAAGCAATGAAATATGTACATCAACACTAGTGAGTGAGTTTGCTAGATTATACTCACTTTCAACACACAAGTACAATAATAATAGCGACAACTTTAGAAGACACTTACTATTACGGAGCGCAACAAACTAATAAATGGGTTTACTGAGTATAATAATAACTATTGCATGGTTGCTGATAGAGAGTTTTACCATTGTTACTCTTAATATGGATTCTGCTCTGTATGTGGAATACTCCGAGGTAGTCCCGTGTGGTGCATTTGCGGTTATAAAGAATTATCCGATGGAGGGACTAGCAACAATAAGCAACTCGATGAGTTTATTAAGAAATCTCAATTACAAACAAACTCACCAAATGAGCACTATTTGGAATGGATTCCATTTGACTGTATTGATGATAGGGGAGATAATAAGGCATATTTGTGTGGTCTACCTACTCGTGCGTGTGTTAAATTGATTCCGCTTGAGATAACAGATGAGACAGATTATGACAAGGTAAACTATTTACTTATGCGTCATGTTTATTGAATATTTAAATAATTATTGACTTATTATTATGTATCATTTCCACTAGTTATGTGATTGGGTTACCATCAGATTCACATATATGCAAGTGAAGAAAAGTATTGTCTGATAAAATGTGAGGATGGATTATGTCTGGCATGTACATGTCCATTAGAACTTAAGATAAATGCATTCTGTTATCGTTGTAAAGCACCACGACCTCTCGATTGGACTACGGGCAACAAGTCATTGGATTCATTTATTATTGAATCATGGAGATGCGTATACTCTCTATTGACAAACATACAAGAGATGGCATCATTACGTCGTGGATGCACACATATTAATATAGCAGAATGGAGAACAAATGAATTGACACGCGTGACACTCAAAAAGATAGTTGACGAACAAAACGATCAGTTATTTGATTTTCATCAGGTAAATTATTTCGCGTATGGTATCGTTTAACGACTGTATTTGTTACTCAAATAAATAACTAAGGAATATCCAGAGATATTAACACCCGCGAATATTGGATAATTGGGATCACTCAGGAGCCATCTACTTAAACAGCTCTAGAGGTCCACTTTAGCTGTGCTTAATAAAGGACACACAAAATCAGGAGCCATCTACTTCAACAGCTTTAGCGGACCCCGTAGCCGTGCCAATAAAGGACACATTAAATCAGGAGCCATTTACTCGGGGATATTATTTGGTTTTCTACCACGACATGCACTCATTATTGGATAGATTTATACAACTTAGCGAATATGTACAGTACATGCAGTATGACGACTTTTACGAACTCGAAGAGATCGGATCTGGTGGTTATGCAACAGTTTATACTGCCAAATATAGAAACTATTCAGGAAAGAGTATGCCACAAACTGTTGTATTCAAACGGTTAAGAGTTTTGATGAAATGCCGGAATTATTTATTTCCGAGGTAAGCAATAATTGGCAGTATTAATTAAAGTGATATTTAATTTGACGCAGTATTTATTTTTATTTAATAGTTCAGAAATCATGCCAAGTGTTTGCAGTGGTCATTCCTTAAAATTTATGGAGTCACACAAGACCCAGAAACAAAAGAGTACATGATTGTCATCAATATGCTAATACTAACAGTGGTAGTCTTTTGTCTTATTTGGATCAAAATATTAACAACTTGACGTGGAAGATGAAATTAGTACATTTGAGGCGTATTGCATATTATCTGTATAATATTCATGGCAAATCAAGTCACCCACTGATATGCGATCTTGGTCAGTGAATTCACACAAGTCAAATCCAACCATTCAAGTTGTTTTACCCTTTATTGCACCGGAAGTCTTCCATACTTGCAAATTTACTCAGAAATCAGATGTGTATTCTTTTGGTATCATTATGTATTTGATTGCTACCGGTGAACCACCTTTTAGAGATAGGCAGTTCGATAGAGATTTGTATGCAACATTATGGGCGGACTACGACCATCGATGCCTGAATCCGCGCCAGAGAAATACAAGAAACTTGCCGAGCGGTGTTGTGATGCTGATCCTGATAAGCGTCCAGATGCATTGAAACTTTATATTAATATTAATATTAACAAGGTTATTGACGAGGATGACAACGCGTGGAATACCATCTGTCATAATGATGTAAAACCCTTATCACGCCTCGAGAAGGAGAGTAAATATTCTAATACGCTCTTACCTACTGGAGATTTTCCTAAATCAAGAAAAAATTCTCATCAGTTACCTCACTTAACAGATTTCAGCTTGCCAAGTTTAGAGTAGGTTGACGGGGAGTAATGGGGGTAGTTTGGATTTAGTGGGGGTAGTTTGGATTTAGTGGCGGTTACAAAGACTTTTGTAAACAAAGTTATTAGCATCGACCACTGCTTACGATTTAGTGACCCACTCTCGAATAAACTTGTAATTCGCAGTTTATACGAGTTTTATTCACGAGTTTACAATTAAACACAATATTCTTCTATATACTGTATGTCAATATGAGTTGAATTAAAATAAAATCGTGCACGTTTACTGCTCAACATTGTCAAATCTATCAAGTTGCACCCACCATGTTCTCTTTTCTTGACAGAGGATTGGTTAATAAAACGTTATCCTATATACAGAAATTGTTTGCGTCAATGAGCCATCCGCAGTCAGTTCTGGATCAAAAATGGAAATCTCGAGCTTGATATGTATGTATCATTGCACAAATCGGAAAAATTCCTAGTGGTTCAATAAAATTTGATCGAACTATTCTCAATATGGGTAATAGTAAAAATAATACATGACCCTGCATATCTTAAATATCTTAACAACGAACGCCATGTTGACCAGTGGTCAATGGCCACACTCACAAGAACATTCACACACTTGTAGACATTCAGTTATTATTTAACACCAGTACAAAAATCGAACATTTATTTATATTTATTCAATACAAAAGTCGAACATTTCGTATTTAAGCTCGACACACAAAGACTTCCTCTATTAATAATATTATTCGCACAAAAGATCCAACCCAGATTAATTAATTGGACAGATCATATTCAACACACAGAACATGAATATAATTATCGTCTTCAAGGTCCAGCAGTGCTATTAGTTAAAGTGGCATTGTCCTTCGGGTTATACAATTCGAGCGTGCCGTTTTCTGACTTGACAGGTACAGTGTCTCCTTGAAGATCTGCTTGAGTTTGGCGTCGCTCGATTCCGTGGACAGAGCGGTCGAATGGTGCGGCGAAGGCAAGACCGAGCAAAGCAAAGAGAGCGAAAAGAGCAACGATTTGAGAGTATTGCATTTTGGTTGGATGAAGATTGTGATGGTATTGTTTGTTTGATAATTGGAATGATATTACAATCGAGGTGGTTTGATGATGTTGATGATGTGTTTGTTTGATGGTAGCCCAGCTACGATTTGTATTGTCGAGGAATCTTTTTGATTGAATCTTTTTGATTGAAAATTTCTGACGGATTGATGCGCTGCTTTTATTTCTTTCTGCTCTCGAGTTGACAGACTTGCCTCCTGTTTCAAACTCGGCGTACAAGTGATACTTTATGCATAGACAAATTTATCGGATTACGACAGCAGATTGCTATTTTTATTCATCCTTAACCAAGTTAAGCAATCTCTTACCAGGGGCCGCATTATGGAATATCAAGCCCCACTATGATCAATGTTACATCTGACTAAATAAATTAATCAGACAATGTCCACATTGAAATCAAGTTCTATCCAACGTAGTCGAATTCTTTTTTTGTCGTTAGGTCTCATACTAATTAATATCTGCTAATGTTGTGCATATCAACACTCTTAGCAAACCTCGTATTTGTGTCACTTATTATCAAGCCCTAAAGGAAATAGTGCTCCTTAGTGACGATGCCATGCCGTCAAATCGCTATTGGACTGGGGCTGATTGATTCTTCATCGAAAATTCTATAATAAGGCCAAGTTAGGACTGTAATGTACATATAAGGGAATACAATGACTACCTGTATCACGGAACAACCATTCACTGTCTTAAAATACAGGATTTTGTAAAAAAAGAAAAAAGGCTTTATCGGATACGCCCCGTCCCTACCATGGTCTATCGATAATCTTGTAGACATTCATTCATCTTGCAAATGATACAAGTGATACGACAGATCACCCATGCACACAAGCATAACTGAGTTTGTGAGAGAAAAACATTGTTGAAGATCTTACTAATAGACGTTCTACAATGCATTGGATAATGAGAATGCGGATCTTCATTTGTTCAGCGATGCGATATTTGCGACTGGCCACGAAGTCGTGACATTTTTATTTTGTTCTCGATGGTCTTTATTTATCTTTGTGACATTCCGCTTTGTATCCTGAGCGAATTGTTTGTAATCTAGATTTCAGGAGCTACCAACAGAATGTGGGCATGCAGAATGTTTAATGGTTTCGTTTCCAAATATTCTGTTACCATTGTTTTGACTGCTCTTTACGTTATCGCCTTGTTGACACCAGTAAAAAGTCGTACGCTGACATGTCTTTGGCAGAAAAGAAACCCACAACATGCTGTTTTACTTTCTGCAATGCATCCCTCGATTGTAGTCAATATTTTTATTTTGAGTTTGTTGTTGTTTACCCATGTTTCATAGCTCTGAAACCTGTTAAATTCTGCAGGGGTTTCTGGATGCTTCAACTCCCTGTGTAGCAACAATTCTTGGCGAGGCCATTGGTTCACGTTCTTGGCAAAACGACATCATCATTAGCTAGTTGCAATTATTGTCGGACTGCTTCCGCGCAAATATTTTTAACTCGCATTGACGGATTTCTTTTTCTTGCGAAGGAAATACTGGATTCTTTTATTTACAAAATCCAGCTGCATAGAGTATAGGCGCGGTATAACAGTTGCATGGCGTGCTATATCTACAGCATTAGCACTTTGCTGTCCGTGCTCAAAGGCTTTATTTACTCAAGACGCAACTTTTATTTGAGGTGAATATCGTTCAAAGTACGCGTGCGCACTCCAAAAAAAAAAAATATATATATAGAGTTACATACAATTCTCTTTACTATACTGCGCTCTCTTATCAAAAAGTATTACCATTCAATGACTTTTTTGATCAGTCATCAACAATCGGTGCTTATTAATATACTCGACTACATTTGTATCACAATACTCTTCCCATCCACACTTACCATCTCTCAACATCTTTCTGATAAAAGTGGAACTCACATTTCCTCCATCTCCATTGATATATACAGTAAACTCGTTCCAAACCCCTCTCCCGTATACCATATCTAGAATTTTTTCGCATTTCCGTCTTTGGTTATTACTGTCACCAACTGCCCGTCCAACAATGACTAGTCCACCATCACAGCCAGAAACGCCAGTCCTAATAGCGTGATCGCTACCGCAGACATAATATACAAAGACTTTACGATTGATTTGATCTTGCAAGAATTCCTGCATTCGTCTAATTACGTACACAAAATCGACAAAATTGTCTTCATTAGCCTTTGCTTCCCATGTGCAGACATCGATCCAATTTGAATGCATCGTAGCCAATTGACACATAGTTATCCTATGGTCAACGTCGATTGCAAAACGGCCTAGCTTGCTTCGGACGTAAAGATCCTGTGATGGCGACAAGAATCCGCCAATGACTATGTTGTTTGGCGAGGATTTTTCTAGTGCTGACTTGGCTAGTTCGAGATTGTGAACATGATATGTATGTATCGGATTGAATGAACCTGTTGTCAGAAGAACTATTAGCCGACTAGCAGAAGACAAAGACGATGAAATGTTGCCTCTGAGCTTGGAAAGCGGCGTAAGGATGCTTTGATTAGAAAAACAGGACATTGTATTGACATAAATGAGTCGTTCTGCAGGGTCGAGGAGTATCACTGTTACACTTGTCCTCATTTTAAAGTTTGTATAACTTAGTTACACAAATTCTTGTTATTATCTAAACAACTATAGTTAGTCAAAGAACTGCTACTTAAAACGCTTGTGCAGATCTTAGACTTTATGTCCAACATTAAGGCGAAACGCATTCAAATGGTTGGAATTTCTTGTTATTTAGAATTTGTCTGGTAGTTGGTAAAAGTGTTGCTGCTGAGGGGTGATTGTATCGAGCTTAGCGGCCGGAATACAACAGGAAACATGATGGGCAAAAGTTAAGGGATCATAATATGAAAGAATCGGCGAGATTCATTTACTATCGCTATACATTTCACGGATACAATTTAAAATTATCAGCAGTTTTATACCTCGCTTAACTGAAATCTATGTTTATTAAGCAGTCTCATGTTCAAATATCAGCCATCCGACTAGTCGAATTTTGATGTGAGCTTCATCCGTTTAGGCTCAGATTCAAACAGCACAAAGTATTCATCGAAATATGTTCACAAAGAAGTAACACGTCCTCTCGTAAAATTAACGGAATTTTTCTGGTTTGTTCATAAGCATTTCAATCACAGTTGAAACTGCCAATCTCTTCTGCTTTAAAGGGATGTTCGAAGAAAAAAAAAAGGTACAGTACAACGACAACGACAACGACAACAACAAATGCAAACACCAGAAAGAAAAGATTCCAGAGAAAATGACGCCAATATCCTTCAAATATTCGATGAGCCGAAATGCCGTCATTACCACTCATAGCTGTAAAAACTATTGTGTTTGGCTCATCATCCCATTCCATGCTTAATTCCGCATGTAGACAAGTCACCGTCTTCTGCGTTTTCGCCTTCGATCGGTATCCCTATCCGAAGAGCTTGCATCTGAGGAGCTGTCCGACGCAGAGCTGCTGTCAGCGGACTCGCTTGAAGAATACTCGTCGCTTGATGATCCACTTGAGCTTTCATCGCTATCACTATCACTGTCAGTGTCATTCGTTGAGGATGCGGATGCTCCATCAGATGACCTATCAACGAGTTTGCGCTAGTATAATGCACTTTTTCTTTATAAATCTAAACGATCACAATTGACCAAAATACTCACCTGGAGTAAGCTCGCTTTCTCTTTTTTTCCTTCTCTTCCAACAATTTATCGGCTACTCCCCTTCTTTTAAACAAGACGACTTGTTAACCAAGCTGCTCAAATTAAAAACACTCAATGTCAATCGTAAACAGACTATACTTTGTTTTAAATTCTTCCGGAAGATCGGTATTTATTGGCTTCAGCGGTTTTGTCAGCTGTTGGGTTCTAGTAGGTCGCGCTCTATAGACTCGGGAATTCTTACATTCGAACGTCTTGTTGCGAGCGATATTGATCATTAATTAAAGTTGTGAAAAAACAAATAATACACCAACTGTCTTACCCAATGTCCGTACTCTAGACATTTTTGACATTGAGTCGAAGGGCTTGCTCTTGAAGTAGTGCTTGGATACCTATGAAGGAGTTGAATATATCGACATTCATATGGTAGGTCAACAAGATGGCGAAAGTTGTAACTAACCTTCGCCCGGAGGCACCACTGCCGAACATAATAATAACGATTAATGCGGTCTTTTAGCTTCATTGTGGTAAATCAAAAAAATAATAAAATCGTTACGTCACTCAACTATGGATCGACAAGATTTATTCCATTACTATAACTATTGATACCAGTTCAGATGCCTGGCTTGCGTATGCTATTGATACTACTAATACTAGTGTTACCCAAGTGGTAATAGTAGTAAGATGGTAATAGAATCCAGGCGGGACTGCAATTTGTGGCTATCCCGATTCTTTCGTAAATGCTTGCACATATTTTATCCATGCTACCTAATCTCGCCTACGACTCCTATTTCTGTAACTCCGACACATCTGGTGCATATCCTTACTAAATATATTCACTACACCAGATAAGGACATTAATATTAATATTAATAGTAATTAACGTTAATGAAAATTACCCATTACCGTTACTACAAAGAGAAAAGTCGAACTGGTTTTCTGTGTAATATCAGAGATATATCGATATGTATATTTCATTCGTTTGCACTCTTGAAATAAATTTACTAAATAAAAAGTGCATAATTGTAATCATTTATTTTGCTCGCATTAGTCTTGGCAGTGCTGAAACAAAAAAGGTTTGGCGTAAGACTTTGTTTGAAAGTCATCAGGCATATGCTTTTATGCATGATTTTTAATATGTCTGACTACATAATTAAATACTTTTGTGTTCTTAAAACGCACGTGTTACAATTCGTCGCTAACAATTCCACGATAGAGAGATGTTATTTGTCATTTGGAAAACAAAGACAGGCGACATTCTATGTAAAGTACAGTCGTTTATTTATTTGTCATTTGGAGTTTGCCCCACGATCGGAAAATATCCGAAGCCGCGAGCTAGTCCATCGATGTGCATCAAAACTTGATACTCTGAAATACCACCACTATTACTTGGATATTAAGCACCAAGCATATAACAGTTGTCTTATTAACTCCCTTTAGAAAGGGACACAAATAATCCTAATTTTTATGCTGAATCTATTCGAGATTATTTTGTTGTTACATCCAAAAATTAAGCAAACTATTAAAAAAGGTTTTTAATTTAACTTGCGGTTTGCTTCATATTGTGACCAACACTAATTTTTAGTTGCAACATAATTCCAATTACTTCTATACTCTAACTTTTTTTTTTTTAAAAAAAAAAGTCTTTCTTCTTGGTAAATTTAATAAGCAATTCTTTCTTAATTTAAATAATTTTGAATTTTGCAGCCTATTTTTGCCTTATTCTCCTTTTTAATTTAAATGTTGGTTTGGATGTAGGATAGTTCTTTTACCAAATAACCCGGTATAAAATTATTTAATTGGTTGTGGGCAAGTAATATCTCTAAATTTATTTTCCACAATTAAAAAAAAGTACTATAGGAAAAATACTCTTGCTATTGTTACTTTCTTCGGTAATGTCAAAAACACAATAGTTGTAAACGTGGCTAATGGGGTAGCAAAGGTTGATCTTACCATCACTTTATTTTTGCGTTCCGGAGTTTCTTCAGTAATGTGTTGGACTTGCATTGTTTCGTATTCATAATTTGCATGCACGACATATTCTACTCTTTGCATGTTTCTACATTTTATGATATATCATTGCTTTAATAATGTCCTCCAACCCGTTTGACACATTTTCTTACTTCGAGTTCGCGCAGACTATTCTGAGACTTTGCTAAATGGCTAACAAGCTCCCGGAAGAGTAATAGGATCGGTTGTAGATAAATCTACATCAAGATTTATGCCAAAAAAAATCCAATCGCTTTTGTTTCAAGGTATTGATTCTCGTATTGCACGTCGCGTATTTCTTGTCGACAGCGAATTACAAGTGATTTCTCAATCAATTACAACTATGTACATACTCTCAACGCGTAGGAAACGCGGAAAATACTTGAATTCAGAACTAAATAATCTTAGCCTTATTCGATGCTACTATCTGTCACGCCCTAGCAGAGCGCGATCCATTGAATAGCTGTTGAGAATTACCTATTCAATAATACAAATTCTCTGTGCGTACTCGTAAACTGTCTTCATTGTGACTTCTCCATGCCATTTATGCTTAAAACACGCATTCACTTAGCGCCGCTGGACTTGAAATTTCATATCAACAGAGTCACTTATGTATCCTTCGCAGCGGAATATAGCTCAATTACTGTAATTCTAAATTATTAAACCGACGAAAAGACTATCCGTATTTACGTATAAATAATAGCGACTTGTTTATATCATTCAAGCGTAACACGTAGAGTGAGTCGACTTATTTACTGATCTTACAATTAGTGAATCACTTACTGATGTATTTTCTATGCGGCAAATAAGATAAACTTATTAAATTGCGAATCGGACAGTATGGCGTTTGGTAACGATAAATCTCATTTTTAAAGTGATGGCAAAGCTCGAGTTGATGACTTCAAAAAAACAGTGGTGTGGAGTGATGTTATGGGGTCGTTGCAAAAGTGGTCATTAATATCAAGTGTGCTCTCACCAGTTCAAGCAGAAATGTGAATAATTTGATAAAACTTTAATTTCTACTATTTCTACCCACGAAATTGATTGGTTATTGCAAATGATGCTTTCTTGTATAATAAATTAGATAATCGACTTGATCTTGTCGCTACCACGAACTTTTCAACGAGCAGACCTTTGGGTTTTTGTTCAATGGTTGGCGTGGGATCTTAAAAGAAGATACTGTGGCATTATGTTCATTTTTCATATAAACGAATAATACAAAGATGCTTGAACTATTAGACATTGTAGCACAGTGACTGTCATCAATTGCCATGGAAAAACAAGAATGTTGTTTATTGAATTGTGCCAGTTTAACGATTCTTTGTCTATGACGTTCGCGATGAACCGTGGTAGTCGTTATGTGCATCAATGAGATAAATATGAAAATCGATATTTAATACGCAGTAGTATATAGTTGCATAATAAGTCTTGATGTGAGGGATCAGTTTGATCAGCGCGATGACACTTTATCCTGAACCACCTCGACAGATACTTCCGAAAAGTCTGTGGCTTGTACTTCAGTTCCAATACCAACCAGCTCCCTGCGCAAAGCTTCTTTGCTCGATGCATACAACATTTTACTGCGAACTTTTGAGCTTTCTGGAGTCCTATTGTTTAAATCAAAATTGAGATATATATTCAGTATCAATTTTCTGACGTCTCGTCATAGCCGACCCGAGTTCACAGAGATGCATCTAATCTGCTCGGCTAGGCATTTGCTGCTCTAATTCTTTGGAAAAAAAATCTTACCATGAATAAAATACTAATTTATTGCGAGGGCCGTCCGCTGTTTCATAGTCGAAATCGTAAATTGCGTAACGAGGTTCGTTCGCAGGCAGCGCGGCAACAAAATCATCATAACTTGCAGTTTCTGCTGACTTGTCAAAGACTATTGTTGACAGGTCGTCCGAGATCTTGAACATGACATATTTGTACTTTTTCTTCAATTTTAGTTCTTGGAAAATATTCAAGCACTCAGAGTCGACAGAAACACCGCTCGACTAATTAAAATAGTAAAAGAATAAGTCCGCGAATGACGACGTTTGCACAATATATGGGACAAAATGAGTAGATTAACCAATGTAACCGTCATACCTACCATGTTGACTTATACTGTAGTAGAGGGTATGTGCGAAAAAAAAAGGAACTTTGAGCTGTATAAATACAAGTGAGCGATTGGTTACTCGAA